TATAAAATGTTTGTTTGTTTTGAATTTCGCGCGCAAAGTTACACGAGGGCTATCTGTGCTAGCCGTCCCTAATTTAGCAGTGTAAGACTAGAGGGAGGGCAGCTAGTCATCACCACCCACCGCCAACTCTTGGGCTACTCTTTTACCAATGAATAGTGGGATTGACCGTCACATTATAACGCCCCCACGGCTGAACGGGCAAGCATGTTTGGTGTGAGAGGGATTCGAACCCGCAACCCTCAGATTGCGAGTCGGCTGTCTTAACCATCTGGCCATGCCGGGCCAGTTAGATTGAGCAAAACACATCATCGTCAGTATATATAATGAATATGATGTGGTTCAAATGCTATTTCGCTAGCTTGTAAAAGTCGTTCACACCATAACAATTGTTGTTATCAAAAATGGCTATATACATAGTATTCTGACTACTGTTGTGTTCATTGTATCCCAACCAGCCTGAAGAGTTCTGGTTTGAGCAAAACGTATCGTCAGCAATTGATATGATGAATATAGTTTGGTTGAAATATGATTATTATACACTTTTCTAATTCTTGAAAATCCCTAAAGGACTAGATTAATATTGTAGTTAGAAAATATAATAGGCCTAACATAATATTTATTGAAGATCTTCATTAAAAAAATGTGTATGTATGTGTGTGTACATACACGTTACCCAATGTGTTAGTGTGTAATTCACATATAGAAATTAATATTTCATTAAAATCAACAAATACTGATAATATTTTCTTAAATCTGGATCATACCATATCTTTCAGAGTCTTCTGATGTTGTAGACTCTCGTCTTCTCCTTTCTGCTCTTGTGACAACACCTGGGGTACTAGTGGTAAGAGGAGTAGTTGAAAGACTGTCCAAAATATGTTCTTTCTTAATATCAAGTTGAGAAGAGCTCTCCTGAGCAATCTTCACTGGAGACACTAACATCTCTCTTTGCTCCTGACTCGAAACTCTGCTTCTTGTCTTGGGAGAATCCTCCTCCTCCTCTAGCCTAGTACTTTCATGTTCTTTTACTTCTTCCATAGTTAGTCTGGAACCCTTGGCTGTAGCACCAGGACTTTTGGTTTTTTCTATCAAACTTGTAGATTCTGAAGATCCACTTTTTTGTGTTTTCATAATCTCAACTGATGACTCAGAGATGGTGCCATCAATGTTGGCTGGAAAAACAAACATATATATATATTTAAATAAATACATTGAAATATCACACCTTTAAACGTGTGCACTAATAGTTGGTATCACTGGATACAAATCCATCAAGTCTTTTTAACTGAAAAAAAATGGTATAAAGAAAAATTGATTCAAAATATTTCATATATGTGTGCTTATATGTATACATACAAACACACGTCCCAACTATAAACTGCTATACTAAAAATAATAAATAATTACTTTTACTAGTCCTGGACCTTGTGCTTCTCACGGTTTGCGAAGGCTCGTGTTCCTCAACTGACATCCTCTTTTTTCGTGTGGACATTCTTTTAGCAGTTGAAAGTTTCGAAATGGGTGTTTCAAAACCTTTGGAGTGTGTTTGCTGTGACTCATTGGAACCAGTCTGTGTTAAGATGTGTTGGTTTATGGGGCTTTGTGATTTACCTGAATCTTCTGCACTTTCCGAGCTTGGAGGTTCAAAATTATTTTCCAAAGAACCAGTTCCAGGCGTTACTGGTGAAGTCTCAAGTTTAGTGCTTTTCTAAAACAATAAAAAGTGGTTCTCTAAACCGACTGCTGTTATAACTTACAATTTATAGATTTTCAAACTAAAATTATAAACTTGACACATACAGTTCTGAATGAATCACTTTTTTCTTAAAATGAAAACCAAAGTTCGAGCAAACACTAAGAAATTTGTAAAGCAAATTAAAAAGGGAAAAAAATGAAACAATATCAAATGGAAAAAAACTCACTCACCTTAATCTTAAAAACTCAAATCTTGTCAGTTGCAATAATTAATAATGAGAAGACTTACCTTGCATTATAATGATTTTTATTTAGTATTGTTGCATACCTGTTAGTTATCATGTTAATAGCTGTACTGAAAACAGGGGTCACATGTGTATAACTCAACAGACACCCTTTAGTGAACTAAACTATGTAAACCTCTATCAACTGGTTTGAAAATATTAATAACCTGCTTATGTTTTGAAACACTTACATCAAGTTCTATTTTTCCTTGTTCTTCTTCTACTGTCTTTAAGCTACAAGATAAGGTTTCAGGCATGGAAATTATGATAGGAGTTTTATCTTCCTTTTTGTCCAGTTTATCTGAAAAAACTTCAACAATTTTAAAAGGTTATACACAAACCATATAAAATTAAAAAGACTGACAAAATGAGTTTATAATTGTGATAAATCCTGTTATTATTAATAGCATCAGCTACCTGCAAATACCAAAATTAAATATGTGCAGTGTAATGAACATATATAAAACATTAGAAATATTATTATTTTATTTGGTAATACAGAAAATTAACAATAATTTAAGATTCTAAATATATAGATATTTTAACTATGCAATTGATACCAATAAAGAAACTCACTAATGCTAAAATTACACAGGTATAAATATTTAAGGAATTACATAGAATATACAATCAAAACATCTATCATTCTTTGCCATTTTTATTAGCTTATATAACTAAATTAGCACAAGTGAGAATGGTCATGTGATTGATTAAGCCTGTGAAATTTTCTTCATAACAACACCAACAAGTTTTCTACTTTACTGTGGTTGAAAAGCACAAAAATGTACACTTACTATTTTCCTCAGATGATATACCTTGCATGTTGTCACCTGAAAGGGTCATTCTGTTGGTACCCACATCGTTTTCATGTTCACTTTCCGAATCAGAAAGAAAAAGCATGCACTCATCTTCATTTTCAATCACCAGTTAGGAAACACCTGATTATGAAATGAAAGTTTCACTTGAACCCTCAGATAACATCAGGGAAACACCAGAGGAAATAACTGATCATGAAAATATAGTTTCACAGGAATCTTCTGTCACCATCAGGGAAACACCAGAGGAAAAATTAAAGTTTGCAGAAGAACCAGTATTGATAACTTTAGTCCCTGTGGGTATGGAAAAAGATGATAAAAGTGAAAAAGCTGGTGTTTTCCTGATGGTATCTGAGGGTTCAAGTGAAACTTTCATTTCATAATCAGGTATTTCTTCTTGTGTTTCACTGATGGTATCTGAGGGTTCTAGTGAAACTTTCATTTCATAATAAGGTGTTTCCTCTAGTGTTCCCCTGATGGTACCTGAAGATTCTAGTGAAACTTTCATCTCATTATCAGGTTTTTCCTCTGGTGTTTCCCTGATGGTAACTGAGGGTTCTACTGAAACTTTCATTTCATAATCGGGTGTTTCCTCTGTTGTTTCCCTAGCAGTACCTGAGGGTTCTAGTAAAACTTTTTTTTCGATGATCAGGTGTTTCCTTAATGGTACCTGAGGATTCTAGCGAAACTTCCGTTTCATTATCAGGTGTTTCCCTGATGGTACCTGATAATTCTAGTGAAACTTTTGTTTCATTATCAGGTGTTTCCTCCGGTGTCTCCCTTATTGTACCTGATGATTCAATAGAAACTTTCTTTATATGATCAGATGTTTCCTCTGGTATTTCCCTGATGGTACCTGAGGATTCTAGCAAAATTTCATTTTCATGTTCAGGTATTTCCCTGGTGGTAACAGAGGCTTTCTGTGAAACTTTCATTTCATAATCAGGTGTTTCCTCTTGTGTCTCCCTGATGGCACCTGAGGATTCTAGTGAAAGTTTCTTTTCGTGATCAGGTATTTCCCTGGTGGCAACAGAGGGTTCCAGTGAAACTTTCATTTTATGTCCTGTAATTTCTTTTTGTATTTCAGTGAAGATATATGAGGGTTCCATCAAAGATTTATTTTCTGGACAAGGAGTTTCAATGTGTGCTTCTGAGTAATTTATTTTTTCTGATGTATTACTAGTTTGAGCAAAAGTATTAGTAACAGTTGCTGAAGGTCCTGATAGATCTTTCCTTTCTTGAACTAGTACTTCAGAGGGTGTTACCGAGAATCTCACTTCTGCAGGTGTTTCAACAGTTGTCTCAGAAAATCTTAGTACGTCTTTCCTTTCCTGACCTAGTATTTCAGGAGGTGTAGAGGAGAATCCAACTTTCACGGGTGTTTCAACAGATGTCACTGAAGGCCCTAATGAATTTCTAACTATTTTTAATGGTGTTTTAGAGGAAGTTGTTAAGAATCTCTCTCTTTCTACAGAATCAACAGATGTATTTGAAGGTTCTACTGTATCTTGTTGTTCTTCAATTGATGTTTTAGGTGGTGTTACTATGATTTCCAGTTTCTGTACTGACCGTTCAAGGTCTGACTTCATATCTCCTTTCTGTTGATCTGGTGTTTTAGTAAAAATACTCTTTTTTCCCTTGACAGATCTGGAATATATAGGGCTTTTGTCAGCAAAAGACTGTTCACTTTTAAAAGTTTCTACCTCTTCAATGCTGTTTGCCTGGTATATGGCTTTATGACTAGTTAATCTAGTTTCAACATTAAGGTTTTTATCAGTTAAAGGATGAACTGATTCAGTGACTTCTACTGGAATGGAGTTGGCTTGAATTTGTGTACTGTGTTCTTCCAGTAAGGTTTTGTGAACAGATATGGATTCAGTCACCTCGTGGATAGTGGATAAGGCTTTAGTTTCTATGATGTCTTCAGTAGTTACAAACTGATGAGATGTTTCATGGGGAGGTGAAAGGAATGCTGTTGGTTCAATAGTTTCATTAGGTCATAATTCTATCAAACATAGATTCTGTTTATTATTACTTTACATTCAAACATAAATGAAAAACTACAGATCCAAAAAAGAAATTAGATGCTCTCCTTTTTTCAAAATTACATATAAAACCAAGACAGTTATCTTTCTAGTGTGTTATTATATGTTAAATATCACAAATTATTTAATAATATTTCTATTATATAGTTTCCCATCACTTCTGTTTTACAGTAGAAAAACTTCAACTTTGTCTCATTCAGTTTATTAGTTATATTTTTTATTGGTAGGTTTAATATATATATATATTTTTTACACTAGAAATAATTTTAATACTTATCAAGATAAGTGAACTATAAACTGATATGCAGCAGTGTGGGTGAAATAAAAAAAAATAAAGACTAGTGACAAATGTTCTGGAATTAACGAGAAATAATAAACCAGAAATATGTTTCCAAAATGGATAACTAATATATTATTTCAAACATATAAACTTCATCAACAAGATAATAAAACTATTTTCACCTTGACCCATCTGGCGTTCAGTGGCCACACATGGTGTTCTTCTACACACAGAAGATGCTGAAGATTTTTCTGGCGGTGATCTACTAGATAACATTCCTAACAGAGGGAAACATTCTTATGTTAAATAAAACATATGTTGTAACATTTTCAAGTTCTAACTGCCATGAAAATTAGTGAATTAAAAAATAAAGTGTGATTAAATAAAAACATTTATAACAACTCATTTTTGTTTAACATTTTTTAAAATTTAATAACTACTATGTTTCAAAACAAGATAGTTATCTTTCTACATTTATCTGAACTTTGTCATGATCACTGATTCTGAACAAGTGAGTTGAAAAACTAGGTACATTGTAATTATATGAAGTATTCACACATGTGCACTTATATTTTTAAATTTCATTTAGCTTGAACTTTATTATATTAACAAGTACTGTATATCACCATATACACAATAAATATAAACTTGCCAATAAACCAGTCACCTGAGCATTACGTAACATTTCGAACTATTCTAAACTTGCCACAAAACCAGTCATCTGAGTGTTACGTAAGTCATATATTCTCAACCTGCACCAAACCAGTCACCTGAGTATCATAATATTTTTGAACTTTTGTAACAGACCTCAGACATTTATATTCAAACACCAAAACTAAAACTTATTTTAACTAGTAGCTAAACATTATATTCCATAATATGTAGCAATATTTCTTTTAGATAATAGATCATCCTTACCAATTACTCAAAGCAGTTTCATCTATTAAAAGAAAATCTCAAATTACCTTTCTGGTCAAAATGACATTGTTCACGTTTCTTTTGCACTGAAAAGTTCAGTGTTATGTCTTCATCTTCAACAAGTAAATCAGCTGGAAGGAATGAAAACAGTAATTTGGAAAACAAAGTTTAGTTTAATAAATTACAAGGACAGAACTTAAGATACTAGATACTAAAATTTTTTTTCACAAACAAAATGTATAAATTTAAAAATTCTCAAAAATGAGAGCATAAAATATAAACCACAATCCTTTATTAACCTTTTTCTGATTGGGTGGAGGCTTGGCGTGGGTAAGGGTGTTCCTGACATCCCTCAATTTTTTCCTTCACACAGTGGAAATACTAAACCTAACTGCAGCAAACTTAATAAATAGTATCTGGTTTCACCATAAAAAAATTCACAATAATTTTAAAGTTTTTCTATAATGAAATTTCCAAAATTTTGCTGGGAGATACTTCACAAAAAAGATCAAAAATACTTCCTTTCATCTTAGAATTTATACATTATTATCTTTTTTAATTGCTGATCAGAAAGTACCATTTATATATATCCAGTTAAGTTGAACTTGACTGGTTTTCACCAACATATTTCTTTTTTAAACTTCATTTTGCTCATTGAAGTAATCACCACTTCTCACAATAAATCATAAAAAATACGGAATAAACTGACAGGTTTACTGGTGACCCAAGACTTTACCTTTGAAAATAGTGTATTTTTGCAAACTATTTTTGTAATTCGATAGCATAACGTGAGCTGCATGTTCCCCAAGTGATTTACAACTTATAATGGCATGGATAGCAGTTAGACACAGTTCAAAGGGCAATAAAACAATAAAATTTAATTATATATAGATGTATACTGTTACAAATTTAGAGCTACTTAGGATAAATGAATGTAGTTTCATGTTACATTTGAAGTCATTCTAGGAAGAAAAAAAAAAGGGTAATTTAGGTTTATTTCAATTTATTTTTTGGTGGTTACGAGGTTGGTCGAATAGATCGATCCCGTTTTGAGATAGGGTAGAGAAAATAACACAAACTATAGAGGTTTACTAAAAAAAAACGTTTGAAATGTATTTAAGAGGTTTTATGGATTACACAAAGAAAATTTTATATTTTTCCCTTTTGAGATGAGAAAATATTTTAAATTTTAACATGAAAAGTACTTTGCACTCAGACTATTCATAACAAATACTCAATATATTAATGGACAAATCTTTATTTTATTAAAAACACTTCACAAAAAGATATGATTTTTTGAATGTGAAAGACTTATAATAAGAACTGAAAGACTGCCCAATTTTGTGAGGATATACACATTACATTGAAAATTAGAATTATTAAATCTATGAAGACTTTAATTGAGTACAAAAAGATCGCGTGGTCGGTCAAATTGACCGAGATTGTGTTGAGAGAGTTAATAAGGCTTCTTTGATTTTTCTTCTGTTAATATCAGATTCATGTTTTAATATGGCAACATTATGTTAAAAAAACTATGGTTGTTTTTATTCATATGTTCATGGACTTGGGAAGGGGATTTTTGGTGTTCTTTTAACTTGATGTTCAAGTTACATCCTTATATAAGCCTGCATTTTGGCTAAGATATGTAGATAAAGTTTTCTGTGGCTTTACTTGTCAAGATGAACAAATAAAATTCCCTCAACAGAAAAAACCACCTACACAAAGACATACGATTCACAGTTGAAAATGGAAATAGCTACATGATAAATGTTTTAAAGTTTAACATCACAGAGCCCCCCCCCCCCCCCAATGGCTTCATCACAAAAATACATAGAAAAAACACATACATCAGAAATTACATGAAGTGATTTTCTAACCATGTAATCCACCAGAGGCTAGGCACTCTAAAAAGCTTCCTAAATTTAGCATACACTATATGGACCACAGAAAACATCAATGAAGAAGTTGTACAATTAATCATTGCTTTACTAACATAAACCAATTCCCTACTACAGTAATTACACAGACTTTAGCAAACTTAAAAAACCCAGACAAAACATTTATTAAACAAACAGACTCAAAAAACACTCCACAAAAAAAAAGGAAACCTAATCAATTGGATTATCCCATGTATAGAAAATATTGGCATACCTCTATCAGAAATTTGGAAAATACCTTAACACAACGTCTAGATAAAATAACATCCCTGGAATGAAAATTAAACATAATAAAAAAATTATATAATGAACTCACCCCACCAGGAAATATTTAGTTACCCAGCTTTTACATAGGTGAAACAGGACATAACTTGAAAATCAGGTTAAAAAGTACACCAAAAACCTCTTCCCAAGTTCATGAACATATGATAAAAAAACAACAAAAAACAGATTTTCTGAACAGAATTTCACAATACTAAAACATGAACTTGACATTAAGAGTAGTAAGTCAGAGAACAATCCCACAGTTAACAAATACCCAGGCACCTCTCTATATGTCTTTGGTCCTTATTCCCCAGACATTCTAAATCTCACATAAATATTTTGCACAACATTTTGACATTTTCATGTTTATTCACTTTTCTGTTCAACCATATATAACTAATTAGCCAATTCACATGGATTAATATGTATATGTATAAGTAACCACCATTAGTTCTAAAAATTAAATACATTGTTAGTTTGTTTAATGTTGATTTAAGTACTAAAACCTTCTTTACCATTAAAACTTGTGTACTTGACCATGATCACATCAGTAATCAAAACATCGTATCAGTTTTAACAATATTCTTCCTTTCTGTAAAAGCTGTAACTTTCGCTGAAATTTGAATTCATTTTAGATTTTTCTTTGTAAACTACACTAAATAAATGTCACAAAAGATAAAATATCAACTCTCTTCAAACTATTTTTGAGTAAAAAATTGTTCAAACTGAGATACAATTATTATTTTCACTTAAATTTTGAAATTTCATGTGCAGGTGTGCACTACACACCTAAAAGGTGCTCAATACTCCAGAAAGGATTAAGCAAGTACAAAGTAACTTTGTACATACTCCTCTCTCTCTTAAACATGGAAAAGAAAAAAAAAACTGATAAAAATTAGTATCAAATGAAAAGCAGCTGCTATACAAAAGCAGATATTTTGAGGTTAACATACACAGTGTGAAATTGTATGTCTTAGCTTTACTTTTTATAAGCTACAAAAACTATTGTTGATTATGACTAAAATGTTTAGTTATTTTATGAAATAGCCATAAAAAGTAGCAAGATATGTTTAATTGAATCAGTTCTCTACATAATAATAACAACATGGATTCATTAATAAAAACTTTTAAGAATACACATTGTTTGGCATTCACCTTTGAACTGTCTTATGACTGCAACTTTTGTATAGGTATTCCTTTATATGTATTCAATCATCATAATATAACTTGAACTGGACTAACGGACTTCAGATGCTTAGATTCAAATATTAAAAGTAAAACTTACTTAAACCAAACATACAATATTTTGAACCATTCTCCTTTGAAGTATTTTTCATCATGTAACACAGTCTACTGATTTTTTTCGACAAATAGGTAAAAGACAAACTCTTGAGAACTTAACTCCATGTGGTAATGCACTATTAAACTAAAATGTTTAAAAATCCATTTTTACATGAGTAAACCTTTTATACCCCCAATGTTTTTTCCTCAACATATTATATAGGATTTGTATGTTTTTGTTGTATTTTGCAAAAAAACTACAGGGAAGGCAGCTAGTCAACACCACCCAATGTCAACCCTTGGGCTACCCCTTACTAACAAAAAGTGGGATTAACCATCACATTATAACACCCTTATGACTGAAAGGGCAAGCATGTTCAGTAACATAATTTGAACTCACAACTTGCAAATTGTAAGTTGAGTGCCCTAAACACCAGGCCATATAATATGAAATTATTTGTTTACATCCTAAAATGATGAGCCAAAGCTGTCATACTTTTTTGATTGTCATAATACTATAAAATTTAATT